CGCAGCGACCACCTCCACCTTCAGGTAACACCACCATGTCCCCCTGCTGGACAGAAAGCCCTGCCCGCGACACGGATCAGGTCTCAGCTTCTAGATGTCATTGTCTTTCTGTCATTGTTGCTACTTCCTCGCCGTTCTCTGCAGAACGCAGCAGGCGCAACCATGGGTAGTCTGCCCACTAGGCTTCCGGAGCTGCCTCTCCAGGTGTGCAAGTCTGCGTCGCTGCTGCTGACTGATGCAGCGTGCTAACTCCTGTTCACTGTATAGTCAGACCCAGAGAACATACATACTTACTATGAAGCTTTACATGTTTGTGTAAATGTTCTTTTTATTTCATTTTATTTTATTGATTTCAGTGAGGAAGGGAGAAATAGATAGAAACATCAATGATGAGAGAGAGAATCATGGATCGGCTGCCTCCTGCACGCTCCCCACTGGGGATCGAGCCTGCAACCCAGGCATGTGCCCTTGGCCAGAATCGAACCTGGGACCCTTTAGTCCAGTGGTCGCCAACCTTTTGGATCTTACGGACCACTACTGGTCCGGGGGCCACCGGTTGACGACCGCTGCTTTAGTCCACAGGCCGATGGTCTATTCACTGAGCCAAACAGTGAGGGCTCAGTGTTCTTTTTAATAAGTATGTGTTGTTACTAGAGTTATTAGAAGTGCTTGCATTAAATAACAGCTTTTGTAATAGCAAGATGCTCATACATAGCTCCTGCATGGTGCCTGGCGGCGGACGGCTAGTGCATCTGACATCTCATGCCTCACTCTGTCCTTTCCTCTCTGCTGCGTGTTCCTGGGCCCAGGGGCCAGGAGTCCTGCGCTGGCCAGGAAGGAGCTTGGAGGTAACCGTTTCGTTTGTTATCACTTGCGCACGTGGCCATGGCATTTGGAGTTTGATCCCTGTAACTGAAAGGCATTAGGTTTGTTTGGTAAAAGTCAAAGTGAATGACATTTATATTTTTAATGGCTCCAAACTTGCACTCTCTTCCTGTTCAGTTAGGCCCGGAGCTCAGTGTAGGCTGCCCGTCCCATGGACAGCGTGGGCTGCTCGCCAGCCTCAGGCCCTGGCCCTCAGTCAGGAGAGCCAGTGGCCACAGAGGCTCACTTCCCAGGACCAGGCTGGTTTCCGCGGGCTCAGCACAGGGACTGAGCACAGCCCCAGCCTTGGCTCGGCGGCGCTCCACACAGCGCCGTGGCGGCAGGGCGTCCCGAGCTGTTTCCGGCAGAACCGCCATCCGGACACAGCCTGCCTTCTGCGTGGCCTTGTCTTGTCTTAACTTGCCGTGAATCTCACGCTTCCGTTTTCTAAACATAAGGACAGTGTTTATTAGCAACCGAATCACTTTGGGTTTAAATGTAGTTTATTTGTTTTATGTGAAAATTCCAGAGCTCAATTGGAGGTATATATTTGATTGCTAAGTTATTTCAGCAGTACAGCCGCAAAACACTGCTAGCTGGTCATTTTTCCATGGACTCAGAGAAATGTTAGTTTTTCCTGTTTCAAACTCCTGCTTTTAGTTCTATTTCCTTGATAATTCTGTTTTATATTCTCCTTCAGTGAGGAAAACAACCAGTAGAAAGTAAATTTTTAATGAATTTGTCAAAAGGTATGTCATATTACCAACTTAGAAATCCGATTTAGTTTTTTTAAATCGCCTCTAGTGGCCCTTGGTCGGCAGTATGTGTGCATTTCCCCCTGTAAACCAGTAACTCTTTAAGGCAGTGAGCTTAGAGAAAGTCACTCTATGCTCTTAGAGTTTTTTAGAAATAAGGAAGCAAAATGAACTTCTGAGAGACTAACGTAGTCTCAGAAATTAAATGAAATTCAAATGGATTTTTTCCGTTTTGGCCGTCGAGTTCTGGAGCTCTTACCAGAGGTTCAGCTCTGACCCTCGGGGCGAGGTGAGCAGGTGGCAGAGGCTTTCCTCGCACACGTTCCCCCTGCAGCGGCCGTGCAGACAGAAGGCCCCGTCCCTCCGCTCTTCCCGGGGAGGGAGGCGGGTGGGCAGGCGTCTACGTCACTGGTTTGTCCTGATTAAATAGTAGGAGGAGCTTCACGTAGACAAAGAGTCTTTTTGCAAAATTAAGTTTAACGCAGACATTGTCTGTGTGCCAGCCGTCTGCTCTGTGCTGCGGGCCCCAGACAACATCCGACTTCTGTTCCTTCTAAGAAGCTACACGTCAGCCCCTCCCGGTCCCGGGGCAGCTACACGTCAGCCCCTCCAGTGCAGGAGGCAAACCAGCCACGAACGCCCCCCCTCTGTGCACCTTGAAGCCTCCTTTCCCTTCATTCTGTGTGTCCAGTTTCCAGTGGGTACCCTTCCTTTCCTTGCGACTCCTCTGCGGTGTTCTGCTGTTCTGTATCTATTTCATATGCGCTGAGGATGTGAAGTTACTGTACAATGTTATTTTTAAGGAAAATACTTTCAAAATCCTTTCCAGAATAAGGCAAATATTTAGAAATGTACTATTCTAACCCTGAGCTTTTAATAATTATAGATAAGCCCTGTCAATTCAGGTCCAGGAATTATCTGTGAGTGATTTCACATAACGTAGTTTTACCTGTAACGATGCTGAACTAAGTTTGCTTAAAAGACGCTTAAGAGCAGAAGCCGTTCGTGGTGATGACAGTCGTTAGGGGCTGATGTGTCTCATACAGCAGTTTCCTTTCAAAAGAGTCAACCTGAGGTCTGCATTGCACCGTGGCCCACTTCTTCCCTGAGGCAGAGACTTAGCGAGGAGGCCGCCTGCCTTCGGCCTTGGCGTGGGATTGTTACAGAAACCCCACAGGGCGCCTCCCGGGCCCTCTGCCCATCGGGACGCCCACGGCTGCCGCCCCGAGCGTGTGGTGGGAGCCGCGTCAGCGGGTCTGTGTGCTCAGGAGCCCTCTCGGGGCATTCAGGACTGATGACCTTCACCATCATCCAAAGCCACGTCCCTGTCACAGAGACAGAGCAGCCCGCCCGGGCCATGCGCTGTTCACTCACGACTGTTTTTTCTTTCCCGCTTCAAAGCACCCCAAAGCCCCGGAGCGACGCGGAGAGAAAACCTAGGTAAAGGCACTTGGCTTGAGCCGCTCTCCTTAGAACGAGACCATGACTAGACGGGGAAGTCAGTGCATGGTTTCTCGTTTCTGTCTTAAATCTCAAATGCACGTGTGACTCTGTTCCAGGCCACAGCCAGCCTTTGCCTCCAGCGGGACTCGAGGGCCCAGGACCCGCTGGACACGGCGCTCCCAGACCGGTAGGCAGCACCTGCCAGGGGCGGGGGGTCTGGGTTCGAGGTCCCAGTTTGCTTCCAGCCACAAGGGTTGCCTTGGGGAAGGCGTGTGGCCCATCACGGCCTCTGCCTCTGTGAGGGGGTGTGTGGGCGGCTCTGGTCCTGCTTCCTGAGGGGCTAGTGAGGAGATAGTCACCCTTCAATGAGAAGGATGTTAAAGTCCATCATTGTAATAAGGTTTCAGGAAAAGGAGCCGTGACAGAACTGGTTCCCACGGCGTGTCAGAGAGCGGGGCAGGGGCTTGTCCCAGTGCTCCTCACGCCTTCCCTTACACTCGCATAGTCGTCCATTATTCACCCGAAGAACATGCTCTCGGGTGGGAGTAATGTAAAGAAGAAGGAAGGAAGTGGACAGTGGTCAGTGGCCCGGCCTGCGGGAGCCCTCAGCGGAGAGCGGGAACTGGGATCTGTTACAATAACTAGAAATTAACAGGCCACGACTCATTTCTCATTAGGCTTCTCATAAAACTTCTGAGCTAGAGATGTTCTGTCTTTTCTCTTATAGCTCTATTTATCATCCAACCTAAACGTCACACTAATGTCTGTGTCTGAGGGAGCTTCCCACAGACTCCTGTCCCCGCTCTCCTGTGCCCAGAAAATGGCAAATCGCTCTTCACTGACTCTACCACACCCTCCCCCCCAAATCTGTGTAAAATATTCTCGGGTGAGGATGTAAAGGAAGGGCTGTTCTCACCAGCTCGAGGAGTCATGGAGAGCTCTTCCTTCTGTGCTGGCACCAAGTCTCGGTCGGTCCTCGGCGTCAGTCTCTGCACCTGCTCTGTCCGGGCGTGGCCTGTGGGGCGGGACCGCCCGGCAGCTGTTGCCTGGCTTTGTTCTCTGGCTTGTGGCCTTGAGAGGCGCAGCCATGCCTGCTCTCGACTTAAGCGATGCCTACCACCGAGGGGCACTTTGAAGATGAAATGCCTCTATGAGCTTCATCCGCACAGCGCGGCCCATTGTCAACTGAGAAACACAAATGCCGACCTTGAGCAGGGAAGTGGGTGGCTGTCCATCCAGGGCAGTGAGCCTGCCCAGCTGGGGAGGCCAGGAGGGAGGGGAAGGGGAAGAGAGGAGAGCGGGCGGGTGCCAGTCTCCCCACGGAGAGCAGCGCGTGTCTGAGGTGATGCCTGTGCTTCTTCCCGTGCAGACGGTCCCG